TCTCGGCCACGTTCTGGTTTACCTTTTGCGGTCTCGAGACGACGACTATTCTGCACAGTGCAACCAGATGTCAAATTGTCAGAAAAAAAGAAAACGGCTCAGAATTTTAGATATTCGGCAAGGCTAACTCACCTTATATATTTCTAAAAACCAGGGTTTTTTCGTAAAATTTTTCTAAACTTTAGAAAAAATTTGTTTAATTTTCAGGTTGTGTGTAGATTTCTGTAGCAGTGTGCGACAGACATCTTGGGTCGACTTTAATTGCTCCATTGAGTTTGAGATGTTGGCCTGTCCAAGCTTTTTGCTCGTTGCTGCTCAAATTACTTTAAGGCTGTTACTGTTGTTGTTGTTGTTGTTGTCGCTTTCGCTTTGCTCTTCTGTCCAGGGGCATAATCATAAAGCTGATGTATGTCGACATGCTTTCTCTCTCTCTCTCTCTATTTCTCTGTGCAATGAAGATTGATTCGGCCATAGCACAAAACAGCTATGCCAAAACGGAAGTCGAACTGAAGCCTCTGGCAAAAAGTATCTAACGGATGCAATAGACCGAGCTCTTAAGTAAAGTAGAACAGTAGATGGAAGAGTTCGCGAGCGAGGAGCGAGGAGCGAGGGGGTGGGGTGTGGCGCTTAGAGAAGGGGCTGTCAATGCAATTAACGCTGCACGGGCTGCCACACGATAACAATTCGCTATACAAAAGTCAAAAAGCAGCATTTGTAGCTGCATCTGTATGGGTATGTATATCTGTATCTGTATCTGTGAGTCTGGGGGCCTCTGTGTGTGTGTGTGTGTGTGTCGCGTATCTCTCGCCTCTATTTTTCGCATCTCTCTTCCGACTGTGTCTGTGCGCGTGAGAGTCGCGTGTGCAATGCTGCAAAATGTTTAAATTCGCAATTTCTTTTTCACTTTGTATACCCAGTGAATTGGGTGCTAAAGGGGTATCATGAAATTGGCAAAGATATGTCACGGGTGTAGAGAGAGGGAGAAAAAAAGAGAATGGGAATGAGAGATAGTGAAAAAAAGAGAGGGAGAGCGAGACAGAAAGTGATGGAGATAGATAAAGAGTGAGAAACAAGGAGCTAGATAAATAGATAGAGAGAGAGAGAGAGAGAGAGAGACAGCGAGAAGGACAGAGAGACAGATTTATAGACAAACTGATGAGATATAGACAGAAAAGGACGGATATATAGACAGATTGTGAGAGAGAAAGAGAGAGACAAAGGCATAGAAAGAGGGAGAGAGAGACACACAGACAGAGGCAGAGGGAGACAGGGAGACAGATAGAGACAGAGAGGGAAATAGACGATTTAACCGATTTGAATGTACGATATATCTGATTTTTCTATAAATACATATTTCCGATCAAGAACAGGAGAAATTCATCTAAGATTATAATAACTTTTAATATATATATATATATATATAAGACACATAATATCCTCTTTATTTAAATTATTTAAAGCGCAACAAAAGGCAGAAGCACAGCTTGCACTGTGAATCTATATAGGGTATCCACTAATCGTTAAATATTTCTTAGGATACTTGCGATATACATATATACACTACAAATGTATGTTAGTTGGTATCTGCTAGTCGTGCACTTTTTAACTAATGCACTCTGACTTGTTGTTGCTGCTGTTTGTTGCTGGCGTTGTTGCTGGCGTTGTTGGTTTGGGTTATCGTCTGGCAACGGCAATCATAACAGCCCGAGGAGCCGAAACCGAAAACGAAAACCGAATGCGAGAGCCACACATATATTGTTTAATGGGGGGGGCACGAAGAAGAAGAAGACGAGGACAGGAACAGAGGCAACCAACCGACCAGCCAGCAAGCCAACCAGCCAGCCAGCCAGGCAGCAGCAGCAGCAGCAACGACAACGACAACGTTTGTGGATTTTGATTCTGGGTCATTCACCCTTGACAAAAAAAAATAAAATTGAAAAAAAAAAAATAAAAATATTTTGCGCTGTGTTAGGCCGTTTTTTGTGTGTGTTTGTGTGTGTGTGTGTGTGTCTGGCATGGAAGTGCTTGGCATTATTGTTGTACATTCATTGCTTCTGTTGTTGTTGTTGAGATTGTTGATGCTGACGCCCAGAGCACGTACAGGCATCCCAAATTTGGGGAGCTGCTTTTGCCAAAATGCAATCCAAAGAGATCGCAGTCATGTCACCAGTCTCTTGTTTTGCATATGTATATGTATATAGCCAGCTATATATCCCATATATTCCATATATCCATGTCTAGCTCTCTCTTGCTTTTTGTTTTATTTTGCTCAAAATGTTGACTTACTTTTTTTTTCGTCTGTTTATTAGCATGCACAAAATGCTTTTGTTTGTTTTTCTTTCTTTTCTTTTTCGTTTTTTTTTTTTTTTTTTGATTTTGATTTTATGGCCTGTGGTTTTTTGAACTTGTGCTCAAGATTTCATTGAATGCGCAATTTGCTTTATTTGATGTTTGTGTTTTTGGTTTATTTTTTGCTTGGAATTTTTAAAACTCCTGATAAAATTTATCAAAATTTGTACTTAGTTTGCGCATAGAACAAACGTTTAGCATTTAATTATATTACAACTAAATGAATTGGTAGAAAAATTACAAAGAAGAAGAAGAAAACACCCCTAATTAAAGTTTCTAAGTAAAACAATTAATATATTCGTATTGAAATATAAGTTAAGAGATGCCAACAAGTCGAAAATACGCTTAGAGACACAAATTTTAATCTGTTTTTTTGGGGGGTATTTTATGCAAAAGTTGAATTTGTATGTAGCAGTTTGAAGATGGAAAATATGCATGGCTTTGCGTGTTGTTCACGAATGGGAACTTTGCCAACTTAATTTGCAGGCTGATGCAAAAAAAAAGAACAAAAAAAAAAAACTCTTCAATGCTTTGGCACTATTTCAAATTAAACTTTAATCTTGTCGAGCTTAACGACTCTTTCTCTTCTAACGGAACGCCCAACATAGGCCAAAAGCGCCATCTACCGTTTTGCCAAAATGTAATGGCTCAAAATAAACTTCTGTCGCAATGTAAAATTGGCATTGCCATTTAGGACACTGCAATAACAACAATAGCAACAACAACGAGAAACAACAAGCAGGAGAAACAACAAGAACAATCAATTACAGGAGTTGTAGGGGCAACAAAGCGAACGCAAAACTAAAACAAAACAGAAAAGCAAAAAAACAGAGCGCGCAGCAGAAATAACTGCAACAACTTTTAATGTTTTGTTTTTTAGTTTTTTTGGTCAGTTCAGTTTTGTGTCGATTCCCACGTGCAAAATAAAACAATGCGAGCAAAGCCGCACGTAGATTTATCTGCATTACAAACTGCGGCGCCCAGGATAAACAGCATACACACACACGCAGTCACAACAAACACACACATACACGCAGAGAAAAAGTGTGTTTTAATTGCAATTACAAGCGCAAAATTGTAAGCGTTTATCTTTAAATATATTATAAAATACTGATTTATAAATAGAGTATAATCGAACTCATTTAAGAAATAAATAACTTACTTTAATTAATCGCTTCTGATTTTGTATTTAAGCTGATTTATCCATAGATTCTAATCGAATTGATTTAAAAATGTATTTTCTTGAAATGAATCCCTTTTTTGATTTAAGGCAAATCTGCATTTATCTTAATACTTATTATAAACATTTTTTGATCGCTTTCTTATTTAAGCTGATGTATAAAAAGCTTATAATCGAATTGAGTTAAGAGTTTCACTACTTGTAACAAAAATGAATCGCTTTATTGATTTAAGAATATTCTGGATCTATCTTATTACTCATTACAACAAATTTTTGATCATATATATTATAATTAAATTATTAAAATTAAATTGCGCATTTATTTTGAAACTTTGTTTTTTCTGAGTGTACACGGGAAATGTCAGTCGACTAACTGAAAATTATGTTTGTGCCAAATTTAAGTTGTGCTACTCTTTTTTTTTTTTGGTCAGCATCGCGCAGAATTGGCGTTGTAATCCAACAGGGTAAAAAAAAAACCAAGACTGACAGAGAAAAACAAGCAAAAGGCGACAGGTGTAATAAATAAGCCAAGCGTACTGGCCAGAATGTGAATGAGGAAGAGGAGCAAAAAGGGATGCGCCATGCAATGTAATGCAGTCAACAAAAAAAAAAGTAGTGTAAAAGGGGAAAAAGGGGGAAAAATGGTAAATGCAGCGAGTCGTCCGCTAATTCGTGTCATTTAGCGCAGGTGGCGACAAAACTAAAAAAAAGGGGAAGAGAGCAGCAGATTGACACTGATAGGATGGAAATGGAGAAGGAGGAGAAAAAGACTATCAGGAAATGGCGGCGGTTTCCGACTCCGCCAAGAATATCAGTGGTGACCTCGTTGTGCCCTTTTTTAGGTGAATAATGCAAATGGCTATCAATGACGGTCTTTAGAGGATTTTTTTTTTTATATTTTCCATTGGCAGTCGCCCAAAAATGTTTGTGCTCCACGCAGCGCTATAATAAATTGAGTGGCAACTGCTGCATAGTTATAAATAGTTATGGGCGGTGGCGCTAAAAGGAAGCTGACAAGTGATTGACCTTATCAAAAATACAAGCTGTAATTTTATAAAAGAATGGCGCGCTATATTTGAAAATGAAACTGGTTCACAATGATGCTGACTTCTTATCGAATATGTAAATGCCACCCGCATGTCAAGTATCGATAAATTGCTGAGGGCGTAGCCACCTAATTTGTGTTGTTTTGCAGCAATGCTGACGACTGTTATTATTTCGATATCGATATAACGATTAGGTGAATTGCTCTTGTGATGCTATGGACGAGTTTCCCATGAATGGGAAATATATAGAAATAAATATTACTAGATTTAAAATGGATCACCAATTAAAAATTGTTGTTAAGTGAACAGCAACAACTGCAGAGCATTCATTTGTATTAATTGACAAGAGTTTTGCCGGTTTTGCTTATACTGATACTTAAATATCGATATATGTCGCTGCGATATCTAAACGCGATATGCAACACTGTTTTGAGGGCGTAGTTCCAACAAGTGCACAGCATTAATTTGTATTACTAATCCGCGTTGCGTGTGTGTTTTTGCTGCGTCCAGTGGAGTTTTTGTTTTAAATTTTGTTTCGTTTTTAATTTTAATAGAGACTGCCCAGGCAGGCAATAAACTCCCACACAGACACATACACACAGACAGAGACAGTCCAACAAAAACATGGCTTTGTTCCTGCCTGCGACAATTTTGGGGCGCAGCTATTTGTTTTTTGGGCTTGTTCTAATTGTGGGTGTGGTGTTTGCTCAACACGAGTGGCAGGCTCGAGATGCGTTCGATGAGATCAAGATACAATTCGATAAGGTGAATGCAGACAACTGTCCGATACAGCATCATGCGGATCTGTTTATGCCCGTGGATGCCGTCTCCCACAAACCGGACATAAAGGAAGTCAATGTGAATCCGGTGTTCCCAAATCGCACCGCCTTGCTGCATCTACAGAATATGGCGTTGAGTCGCAGCTTCTTCTGGAGTTATATATTGCAATCGCGATTCATACGTCCGGCTATTAATGACACCTACGATCCGGGCATGATGTATTATTTCCTTTCCACAGTTGCGGATGTTTCCGCTAATCCCAGCATCAATGCATCGGCCATTTACTTTTCACCAAATAGCTCGTATTCATCGTCGTATCGCGGTTTCTTCAATAAGACCTTTCCGCGTTTTGGACCGCGCACATTTCGCCTGGATGATTTCAATGATCCGATTCATCTGCAAAAGATTTCCACGTGGAACACGTTCGACGTTCAAGATTTGGGGGCGCATCATCCTGACTCAATATCAAAGGATTACACACATGATCTGTATAAGATCAATGAATGGTACCGCGCCTGGCTGCCGGACAACGTTGAGCGCAGACATGACACAAAGATCACGTATCAGGTGGAAATACGCTATGCTAATAACACAAATGAAACATTTACATTCCATGGTCCGCCGGGCTCTGAAGAGATACCGGGTCCCATTAAGTTTACACGTCCCTACTTTGATTGCGGTCGCTCCAACAAGTGGCTGGTAGCCGCTGTTGTTCCAATTGCTGATATTTATCCGAGGCACACCCAGTTCCGGCACATCGAGTATCCCAAGTAAGTGTAAATTGTAACTTATCTATGCATTAGCTAATCCTCTCGTGTATTATCTCTTTTATAGATACACCGCTGTCTCAGTACTGGAAATGGATTTTGAGCGTATTGACATCAATCAGTGTCCGCTGGGCGAGGGCAATAAGGGTCCAAATCATTTTGCGGACACGGCACGCTGTAAAAAAGAGACAACCGAATGTGAACCCTTACACGGCTGGGGCTTCCGTCGTGGCGGCTATCAATGTCGCTGCAAGCCAAGCTATCGACTACCCAACACAGTGCGGCGACCCTATCTGGGTGAAATTGTTGAGCGCGCCTCAGCCGAACAATATTACAATGAATACAATTGCCTCAAAATTGGCTGTAAGTTTTTATCCTGTCTACCTATTTGGTATATATGTGTAAAATGATTCCCCCTTTCATTTTAGGGATACAAAAGCTGCCCATTCAGTGGGAGAAGGCGCCGTACTATGTGCGCGAAAAGTATTTGGATATGCATCCGGAATATCGGAATTATACGACAGGCTCTCGATCATTGCACGCCGAACATTTGAATGTCGATCAGGTGTTGAAATATATTCATGGCGTCAATTATCGCACATGCAAAAAGTGAGTGGCAACTTTTAGAATATAGAATTTAAAATTGTTATATTGTTGTGAAAGTATTGCTGATATTTACAATGTGTGTGTGTGTGTGTCTGTATCCCTATTTGATTAATCTTGTAATTTAGCTTACATGGCAATAAAAGCCTTTCCAATGTATAAATGAGTGCACATGCGTGTCACAACTGCTGTCAAATGGCATTTTATATTAACATTTTATAATTATATTAATGCCGATTCGTTTTCCCATTTGCAACTAGCTTCCATCCACAAGATCTAATATTGCGCGGCGATGTTAGCTATGGCGCCAAGGAGCAGTTTGAGAACGAAGCCAAAATGGCTGTGCGTCTGGCCAATTTTATTAGCGCATTTTTGCAGGTAAGCTTAATGCTGGAATTCAGCTGTTTCGCATCGTTTCCCATCAGCTTCACGCTAAATGAAGAGCAATAATTGATAAACCCGACACCTATATTAAGCGCCTTCGATGTCGCCTCTTGAAAACTTCTCAAGTGTAAATTATAATTTTCCACGCGTAATTCAACTTCCTCGAATTTCCTGCAATGCCAGTTTCACATTTTTTTTTTGTCAGCTTGCTTGCCAGTTGCGAATTAAATATTCAGTGTCAAACCATTACCAAATGCTAAATTCATTAGTTTGAGCGCAGAAGGACACGAAAAACGGGTTCGACACCAAAAACGTCGTCTTCATTAAATGCCACAGAGCAACAGAGTAAAAAAAACTGGACTCCTCTCTTCTTTTTTTTAACCCTACTCCTACCTCTGGCTGCAAACGTATTTGCACAAGTTGTTAGCATAGAAATCGAGAAACGCTTGGGGAAATATATATAAGTCGTATAGTATCCCCCCTAAATTCCCATTTCTTTATTATTCAGGTATCGGATCCCAATGAGGTGTATTCGGGAAAACGTGTGGCGGACAAGCCGCTGACCGAGGATCAAATGATTGGCGAGACCCTGGCCATTGTTCTAGGCGACAGCAAGGTCTGGTCGGCGACGACGCTATGGGAGCGCAATAAGTTCACAAATCGCACCTATTTTGCACCCTATGCCTACAAAACGGAGCTGAACACGCGCAAGTTCAAGGTGGAGGATCTGGCGCGTTTGAATAAAACGCACGAATTGTATACGGAAAAGAAGTACTTCAAGTTTCTCAAACAGCGTTGGAATACGAATTTTGATGATCTCGAAACGTTCTACATGAAAATCAAGATACGACACAATGAGACAGGTGAATACCAGCAAAAGTACGAACACTACCCCAATTCGTATCGTGCGGCAAACATTAAGCACGGCTACTGGACGCAGCCGACATTCGACTGTGATGGCTATGTGAAGAAGTGGCTGGTGACCTATGCGGTGCCCTTCTTTGGCTGGGACAGCCTCAAAGTCAAACTGGAATTCAAGTGAGTAGAGCACAAGGGGAAGCTATAATTTTTGGGTTTTGGGATAGGGATACGGAATAGAAATCGGAATAGGGCGAGCTGCGTGCCGCGCCTTAAGCGGGCCCGTTGCTCACCCCTTTTTTTTTGTTGTTTAGGGGCCAGTCCCGTTCTCCAATTCATTCAGATGCAAATGTTGTGTTTTGTTTGGTTGTCTAATTTTCAAGTGTTGACTTCTGACTTGTGACTTCCTTCACTTCACTTTGCACATTGTCATGCAAATTGTGCAAGCAATTAAACTAATTTGTTGTCTCCTCTCTCTCTCTCTCTCTACACACGCAGGGGTGTCGTCGCCGTCTCCATGGACATGCTGCAGTTGGACGTTAATCAGTGCCCGGACTGGTATTATGAGCCAAATGCCTATAAGAATACGCACAAGTGTGATGAGAAAACATCATATGTGAGGCTCGATATCAAATATCTGATAATTAGAAATGTAGCTAATATGATTTTCTCATTTTTTTTTTAGTGTGTGCCCATTATGGGACGTGGCTATGAGACGGGCGGCTACAAGTGTGAATGCCTGCAGGGCTACGAGTATCCCTTTGAGGATCTGATCACCTACTATGATGGCCAGCTGGTCGAGGCCGAATATCAGAATATTGTCGCCGATAAGGAGACACGCTACGATATGTTCAAGTGTCGTTTGGCGGGCGCGTCGGGTTTGCAATCAGCGCTGGGTTTGGTCATCTCACTATTTGGCCTGACACTCACGCTGCTCTATAGATTTAGTTAAGCCAAATAATGCTAACATCAATTTCCGTCCATACGAATCTCACCTTAACAAAAATAGAAGAAAAAACACAATACTAAGAAAAAAACTGACAAAGCAAAACCAGCTCAAAGACACAAAATTGACACCCAAAACAAAACGCAATACTGCCCAAAAAAAAAATGAAGTAAAGAAGAAGAAGTTGTCCGTATTCTCCACGTATTCCATATATATTTATATATATATATAAATATATACTGAGATGCGCCTTTGAACATTGTCATCATTTATCTGCAAGGCGATTAAGTTGTAGACATAATCTATTACAATGAATCTGGTTATTTGTCATTTCTATCAAAGAGCAGCAGCAGCAGCAGCAGCAGTAGCAGAAGCAGCAGTAACAGAAAAGCGCAAACAGCCGCGCCTACTGTGCTCAGATTACGGAAGCGTCGTCGTCGTCCTTTGCTAATGTCCGTGAAGTTGCACAGCTGTATATGTATGTGTGTGTGTGTTTGTGTTTGTGTGTGTGTGCTTGTGCTCGCTGGAAACCTGTTAACATCAAAACCCAGTTAGGCCTCGTACCCTACACCCATCCTCTATAAAGAGAGGGTTGTTTGTGCCTGCCTGGTCAGCGCTAAAAAAAAAAAAAGAACAGAAGAAAAAACGCCTGCCGTCGTGTTTTTCCTATATTAAATCGTCGGCTGGTCCATTGGCTGCTTTTTTGCCTGAATTAAATATGCCGCCGTTTTTTTTTTCTTTTTGCATTTTGCTTTTTTCATTGAGCGCCTTGATTATCATATGCGCTTGAATTTTTATTATCTATATACCCTGAGAACTTTTTCTATGCGTCGCCTGGAAACCAGTTTATCAGCCACTTGGTCTCCTGCCAGGGCAACAACAACACACACACATATACAGAAAAAAACTTTACCAGCGCTTCTTTTTTTTCATTAAAAAATTGGCCATGAGTAGCTGGACTTGCGACTTGGACACACACAAAATATTTTCACACATTTTTCATAGTCAGTATCAGGGGCAACAACAACAACAACAACAAACAATATCGGACGCCGCCGGTGGGCAGTGACGACCGCTGCGTTTTGGGCAACTCCTCCATTTCCATTACCAATTGTGCCGTTGCCGGCTGCAGGCACGTCCTTTTACAAGGAGCCATCATTTCGCAGCGGGTACGCGCTTTGGTTTTTATTATTTCTATTTTCTAGTGTGTCTCACAGTTGACTTTTGTTTCTCAAAACTATTTACTATCTATATCAGTTTGTAGGACAGTACAAATAATATCGTATCAAACATAAAAAGTGAAAAGATTAATTGTGCCTTAATAAAGACAAAGAAATTCTTGCTCGAATATTATACTACATATATAGACTACGTCGTAAGTCCGTCCATTTAAAAATGTCTTCATTATATTATTAAGTGCCTTGAATTTGTAAAGAATGAATATATTCGTATTTTATACATAACACTCACATACACACACTCTTTTTATATAAATATGTAGAGACTTAAGCTTAAAAATACCAAACAGTGTTCGAAGCAGAAATCTCAAAATAAATAAATAAAATAAATCAATAAATGTTTTGTAAATGCTTTGTAAATACCAGAGTATAGAGCTTTTACCAATATACGCTTTATAATAAATACAAAGTATTGTCTAGTTGTAATGTTTTTAAGGACCACTTAACAGGGACTTTCACAAAACCAAGTTTGTAAATCATGGAGTAAGTTTTAAAATGTGTACTCGATGAGCGAAGGCGGATATAGCTAAACTGGAACCGGCTTAATAAAGCTGCCTATCTTCAATTTTTATATTAAAAAATTATCAAATGTTGTTTTGTTAGATTAGCGACACATTATGAAAAGACGTTTTTTTTTTAGCATGTGTGTAACAAAACATCAAAAATTATTGCTCGTGATATTATATTCTTAGTTGTTGAGAAATGCTCTACGGAAAACTTTCATTTAAGTTGGCGCAATTCAGGTGTACATAGAAAATGGGCGCATTTTATGCTTGGCTTACCGAATTTTTTCATATTGGCTTTCACGTATTTAGCTTGAATTTGATAGTCACGAACGACACGACACGACACGACACGCACACAAATTGAATAAAATTGCAAAAAAAAGGTGTTTCGACTTTTGAAAACAGAAAACACAAAGCGAAAAAAAAATAACACACGGCCTTGCGGGAGAAACCAAATTGAATTGTTGATCGCCGCCCGTTAAACGCCGGGCGGTCACGTCTTTTTCTTATATCGCGGTAGTTGTGTGCACGAATAGAACTGATACGATTTAGTTGCGATCGGCCCAAACTATCCGCGAAATATGAAGAATTGTAATAAATCTTTCGTTCGAACTTTGATTTATTTTTGGAACCTTTTAGAATTTTTAGAAATTTTGGAAGGGTTTCAATTTGAATGAGAGATGTTTTTGTAATGAAAACTTTTCATAATGTTTATCCAGATTTTTCTAACAACAAAAAATAGACATTAATTTCAAGGCCTATGCGACAGTGAAAAAATCCATTTACCATTTGTTGTGTTGTCAATTTTTCATTTTGTGTGTTTATTATGTGTTTTCTAAATACATACATTTGGTTTTTTTTCTTTTTTTTCTTTTAAATATTATAAACATCATTAAAAACTATCACAAATCAATTATTGGATGTGGCTACACAATAATAATACAAGTACAAATTAGGCAGCTGCGAAATTGAATCGAGCCGCTTGCAGTCCTTAAATACATGTGCGGGATTCAACCAGGATTCAATCATACAATTCCCAGCAACTATAACACTAATACAGATCAGTTTTTTTCAACAACAGCTAAAGTACAAATAACACGATGAACTTTACATTTTATAAAATACATGCATATACTTTAATATTCGTTTTCACTTTCGAATTAAAAAACACATTCAACATAACCCCCGAATAAAATGTATGTATATGTATGACTAATCTTTGGATCTGACTTTAAGCTGCATTTTATTTTTAGTACTTAGCTAGTTCAGTTTTTTTTCTGTGTCTCTAAAATTTAAGTGATGTCTCTTAGACTAATTTTGAATCTTCCGAATTTTCCTATCAATTAGTTATACTTTTCGGTAATTTTGGTTGCCCTATCAGGGTGTGCCGCTGTGTGGATTTTTACTTTAAAATATTTTATAATTAAAGTTAATATTTAATTTCGTCATTATTTTCTAAATAATTGCTAAACACAATTGGCTTCGATATCTCTTTTAATTATTTTTATTTGTTTAATTTATACTAACTTATTTTGTATGCCTTTGCAGTGGGTATTAGAATATTATCATCTATAGCTGAGTTAATATAGTCTTCTAGTTCTGAAGCTATCAATTATCAGTACATATTTGAATACCGGTTAAATCGCACCTATGCCACATCAGGTAGCTGCTATCGGAAAGCTCTTACAGAGGGAATCAATGATTTAGTTATGACGTGAAAACAATATTTTTCAAGTTTTTCCAATTTTTCTTTTAATAACTTGCCCAAATTGTGATTAGACCCGTTCTGCAAGGGCAAAGAAACTTTGGCATGCCGAAGATATCATTTCTTTCTCGGTTTTTATTTAAATTAATTCGTATATCTATAATTAAGGGGCATATTCAGGGTCATATTTGAGCTCAAGTTAATGAAAGAGCTCATTCTCTTTTTAGCTGGTTCCTCTTTGGTTTCAGTGCACATGGGTTTTTGCATGGGTTTGTATCTCTGCACTATGAGCTATATTGTATCTGTATCTGTATTTGTATATAAGTAACTGTGTTTTTTTTTGTTGCGTATAAGTAGTTAATATTTGAGCAAAATTCTAACTGCATGTGTTTCAATAAAACTCTCACAACAACAACGATCCTTTAAAATGACATATAATCGTAATGAATATAATATGTATATATATGTATATATATATATATATATATATATATATATAGAACTTCTTAAGTGCTTGTGATTGTGTTCAATTTTTTTCGCTGTATGCGGCAGGTGTTAACTAACTTATCGGATTCACTATATTGATATGCACAACTACACTCAGAGAAAAATAGTTTTCTAAGCTTAATATAAACGGTATAGATGTTCTCAATGTTTTGATTTTACAGTTTTATCAATGCAAACGTAAGTGAATACGAACAGACTCATAAGATGTAAGTGTAATGTAAAACTGCACCACCTTAATTTGTATAGGTTGGAGCTATTCTGTGGGGGCATAGTAAACCACTGTCGACTTGCGTCGAAAGCCCAAATTGAAGAATGAGGTCTCCGACTTTTTGCGCTCATGATCATGCTCGTGCTCGTTGCCAAAATAGGAGAAGAGGCGTCCAGTGCCGGTGGGTGGTGCACGAATGCCGCCGCTGCCCCGTCGACTGCCATGGACGCTGTGGCTGCTGCTCTGACGGTGAATCATTGTGAGTGATGTGTGCGAATGTTGCCGCTGCAAATGCTGCTGATGATGTCGATTGTGGTGGTGGTGGTTATTGTGATGCTGTTGTTGTTGTTGCTGTTGTTGCAGATGATGATGTGCGTTATTGGTTGTGTTGCCATGCAGAAACCCAGCTGTAGTTGGCGATAGATCAGTCATCTCACACGGCCAGAGGGTGAACGAAGATGGGACCTTATGTATCCCGTCCGATAGTCGATAATGGTGGGATGCTGACCTATTGAAGTACCGCTCCGAGGGCCGCGACCCCATCTATACATATATATATATATATGGTATGTATATATATTGTGTATGGGTGTGTGTGTGAGTGTGTGTGTTTGAAGAAAAGTTCAGATATTAGCACAACGTATAGAAATATGTTTTCTACATTTGATTTCATTTTTTTTCTAGGCTTTTTGTGTTCAATTTCTATTGCGCTATATGTACATATTACAAATTTGTGTTACTTTTCCATTTTTATCTTTTAATATGTATATGTATATATATATATATATAAATATATATATACAAACATACATACATATATTGTATACTCGTATATGCAATGCCGATCAACAGCAGTGCAGCTTGTTGAATATTAAATAAATATTATATTTAGTAGACAGTTAAGCTTTAAGTAGAATCAATTTGCAATTCAAATTATTTTTTGTATTGTAAGTACAGTTCTTAATCTAAAATGTTGTTTGTGCATATAGCATATAAAAAAGAATGTATGCCATAAACATGATGTAAGCACTTCGGTTCAGGGAATTAACCTGTGTTGTTGAGGATACGTGAAACCATTTGTTGGCCGAAAGCATGGTTTATATTTTTGGTTCTTTTATGATCCGGTTAAGTCTTACTGAGTATCTGCTAGTTGATCAGCAATGCATTTACATAGTCTAACTAAGTTGATACTAAAATTTGTATGCGTCTAAAATTGTTTGCTAGCATTTTTTTTTTAAATACATTTTTTTTTTACTGATTTTTTACTGATGTTTGTTAAGTTTGTTGTCAATTTTTTTAATATATATTTATTTACATAATACATGTTTGTGTATGTGTTTGTTTGCTTGTGTGTGTGTAAGTGTGGGTGTTTAAAGGGCAACTGTAGGTATAAGCGTAGGCGGTACTTGGGTGCCACATTTACATAAATGGAGTCCAATAAGCTGTGCTAATTCAAACAATATTAACAAGTGCGGCTATTTACAAATATATGCATTCATTAAAAAAAACAAATATGCAATTAAGACAATAATACATAATATATGCAATTTGTTATATATTGATGTAACTAGTGAAATATCTCTAACGAGGGTTTTCACAAAAAATGTCAAGAGCGCTCACCGTTTTCGTTCGCCTCTCAATTTAAAAATATTATTGTACTTGGTATAAATTTTTTTTGCATTTGTGGTTTTGGTTTTTTTTTCTTGACAGTTACGACATTTATAAAAAAACATTTTGTGGGTCGTGGGGCTTAACATAAAAAGTCGTCTAAAGCCACACACGATCGCTACACAAATTTGCTGTCTATAGGATTTGGGTTAGTTGATTTTTTTTGTTTGCTTTTTTTTATCATGCGTTTTGGCTCAAACAACATATGAGTTTGTATTGACCGCATAATATTTTCGTTTATGTTTGTAATGGGAGGCATAAATATGCTGCGATCTGTGAATAAAAATAAACAACACAAAGAGAACGAGAGAAAAAGAGAGAGAGATGAGGAGAGAAAGAGAGAAAAAGAGAACAAATACAGAATAATTTAAAAAAAAAGGACTTTAAGCGGAACCGAGAGGCAGACATTAAGAACTAAAACGCATCTGAACAATAGGTTAATATATTTCACTTGGACTCGACTATAACTATAGTTATTAGGTGACAACTGTACCTTACAAAGTAATACTCATCATTCATTACAGGCAGTAGGGAAAAAGAACGGTTCAAGTACTTACCCAGGACTCTAGTTTGGCTTACTGGTCTGTCTTGGAAAATCATTTACAAAATATATGTATTTCTTGTTGTTGCTTGTTTTTTCTTTGTACAGAATATCTGTGAATTGTAGTATTTGTTTTTTATATTTTTTTTTTTCCAACTTTTAGCTTATGTGGTGCGAGAACGAACGCGTGATGTGCCGTTGCGCATATCTCGTGGACGGTCCGGTGACTGCAGCATCTCGTTTACAAAGCGCTGGCCTACCGCTACTTGGTATTTTTGTGGTATTATTTTGCAGTGTGTTTGTTTTTTTTTGTGTGTTTTCGAATTTGCAATGAGAATCAAATGTTGCATTTATTTTTTTGTGATATTTTTTGTTTTTTTTTATTTTTTTAAATTTATTTTCGCAGTTTTTGTTGATTAGAGTTTTGCCAGGTTGATACGTGTTGTTGTGAGTATGTGTATTTTGTTCAGACAGAGAGATTTATGTATATATATATATAGAGAAAGAGAGAGAGAGAGAGAGTAGGGGAGACAGTCATAGAGAGAGACGTGGCAGAGGTGAAGAAGAGAAAACAAGAAGAAAAAGAAGCAATAGTACAGATTAGCGGTGTTTTACTATATACAGAATCGTTAGAATCGTTTTTTTTCTGTTACTATTAGAGAGCTGCTTGTTCTAAAGTGTTGTTATGTCGAAATTAATTAATGAGATTTTGTGTAAAATACATTGCTTATGCCAAATATACATATGCTTGCGCATACACAGAGAGAAAAATGACGGTGTGTAACTAAACGGGAATCAAAAATTCGCAATTTTAGTAAACCAAGAAAGATTTATTCTAAGTGAGCACAGACCAAGCACAAAAATGTTAAAACAAGATGTTTTAATATCGTTTACAGCAATCATACTCAAAATTAGAATAAATATCTCAATGTGAATGTTTTTCTCTCTGTGCAGTTAGTGAGCACTTTACTTTTATTTCCTTATCTAGTGAAATTTGAACATAAGAGGAATATCTTTTTGGTTAAATTTATTTATTTTGGTGCTAAGGCTGATCTTTTTTTTTTTTTTTGAGAGTGACGAGTGCTTTGATAATTAGATCACTTGTATTATGGATCCTGTTGTGAAACTTACCTTTACGCTTTTCAAAATGTTTAAGTTTAACAAATTTGCACTGTAACTACGAGATTCCTAAGCTACTTAAGATTGGCTCAAAACTACTCAAACTATTTATCGTAAGTAAATCAAATAATTAAGTAAAATTGAATTAATTTACTAACTCTGCAGATTTTGAGAAAAATTAACTTAAACTAGGAGTTCGATGCAAGAAATAAAAATGTAATAAGAAAAATCAACTTCAAACCCTCTTAAATGCAGTTGGTAACGAATATTTAAGAAAATACTTATCATGTCATAATTGTAAATACGATATCGCGTCTATTTGTTGTTTTAAGGAAATGCCCATAACAAAATAAACCCGAAAGCTCAAACTTACTAATCAAGTTTTGAACTAAGCGGAATCGAACTTAAATCAATACTTTAAAATTTGTTCAGTATTTTTTCTTGGTGAAGTTTATCGTTTTTGAGTATGGTTCACCTATATGGCGTACAATATGTAGATAACAGAAAATCTTTCTTTTTTTAGTTTTAAGCACCGTATGCTTAAATTTGAAATATAGATCTTGTTTGCCAACAGACGAAACTCACCTCGCATTGTGACCCAGCATTATGATGCTTCTGTAAATACAATTGAGAAATGTCGACACCATTTTTTATTTAAGAAATAAGTAGAGTATATAGCAATAGTAGAGTAGAGTTTAGAGACAGGTTTAGAGACAGAACGAACACACAGGAGATGAAAATCAAAGAGAAACTGAAACAGAAAGTCAAGAGTTTCGAGAAAGAATAGCGTTGGTGGCCGATTGTGGAAATGTAGTAGAAAACTGATACAAAAAAAATAAATAAATTTATGTATATATTGTCTTAAGATCATGCCAATAATTTATTAACACTTTATATGAATTTTTATTTTTAATATTTTGCTTTTATTTATGAAGGGTTATATATGTATTAATTGTTGTGCTGCTGTACTTATATCATATATATTACATATACATAATAGGTCAGACAGACAGAATTCTTAAGCCATAAAGATTGAACAATGGGACGACTCTGAGTCGATCATGCTACAATATCTGGATTTCTAAATTATATAACTTTGCGCCCTATTAAAAATGTGCACACACTTTGACGTAAAGAATAATTTAAATTAAGAATTATAACAAATATTTTTAAATTGTATTTACAATTTTTGCTTTCCGTATATAAAAAAATTCAGGAAACTGATAATTATAACTTAACTATACATTTTCAAAATGTTGTATAATTATATAATATTAATATTATAAGCAGCGTGTACTATCAACAGATCGCACAACAAGCAGCCAAAACAAAACAAAACAAAAAAAAATAATGAAAGGGAACGAGGCTGAAAGAATAACAGCATCCATCATCATCATCATCATCATCTTATGCTGTACAATAAATGGGTCTTGAGCTGTTCTATATAAATAAAATATCGCAACACCAGCGAAAGTCAAAAGCTACACAGTTTTTGAAGTATGTGTGTTGTAAAGTGCACAGAGAAAAAAATATTCTAAAAACAAGATAGCTTCTTGGATCCAAAATGTATTTTCATTTCAAAATGGAAATTCTTAATTTGAGACTTTTACTCCTAAATTTAGGTCTATGATCTTCATAGTTTAATACAAACACAAAATAGAAACATATTTGTGGCTTAACATTTTTAGCCGCTTTCTTTTTGATTTTAGCTTCTTTTTTTCTCTGAGTGTGTGTGTGTGTTTTTTGTGGGTTTAAGAACTACTATAGTCGAACCTGTCAACAACATCCATAGACAAAGTTATTTTACACAATGGTGGTCAAAAGAAAAGAAACAAAAACTGCAAACGACGAGTTATATTTATAAGTTGGGTTTATATAAGTTGATAGTATTATGTAGACTGGCAGTTTTGGGATTTAAGAGTTCTCTGATCTGCCGTAACGCAACGAAATCATCAAAAGGTGTCAACAACAATTAAACACATTAAGAAAAAACAAAAACAACAAGAAGATTTCATTATTGGCCAACTGCACAAGGGCCTGGAAGTAGTGTTTGGTAAACGATATGCATTGTATTGTATGGTATGTATATATAATGTTATATGTTATGTAACAAGGCATATAAAATTAGGTTTATATAGTTTTGGGTGTTGTACATAGTTATAGTTGGTATTTAGTATGTACGTAACTCTTTTTTAAAAAGGGTGAGCGCATACTTTTGGAGGCCAGGGTGCTTGTATATTTTCATATAGTATTTTTGTGTGGTTTTTTGTGTGGTTTAACTATTAAGTACGAGTACATTCAGTCAGTAAAAAATCTGCCAAAGTTTCTGGTACATCTCAAGCTCAAAATCTCTTAAAAGGTTTGGTATTTTCTGGTATTCACTATGTTATTATCAAATATGTTATGTAGTATAACTAAATAAATGTTAAATGCTTGATATTATTTGTATAATATTTGGTTATTGGGAGGTTTTTGTTTTGGTTTTTTGCTTGTGTATTTGGCCTACCGAATGAGCATAGCGAATTTCGGCTAATTCACAACAACATTGGTAACGGAGTATGGCACGAACGCTCTTTCTGCAAGATGTTTGGTTTATATAAAATTAAATATATATTTTTATACAAGTAGATTAGCAACAAATTAATAATTTCATGTTTTCTTTTTAAGTTTAATGTTGTTTATATCAAGTTGTTAAATTTATATGAACTATTTTTAGCAAAATGAATCAAACTTAAACACATGAAATACGAAATTTTTTAAAGTAATATTTAAGAAAAGTTGCAATAACAAAAGTACAAACAGAAATTGAGAAATAAAATACGCACGTGTTTGTAATCACTAAGAAAATTAGCATAATTATATTTTGTATGTATAAATCATGTAGCATTATTAGAATAAAAATACAGTTACACTGGGTTAGTACTTACCGTAGCAGTCGCGTTATGTAGTCGGGCCAGTTTTCGGGGAACATAACGAGGAAAAAACCGATGGCAATTAAAATGACGCCGGCCAGTTTCATGCCCGCAAATGTCGCACTGTACAGGATGACATCGAGTGCTAAATGATGGATGTTGTGTATGTTAATATTTTTTTTTTCTTGTGTATTGTATTGACATTTTTAAGATGAATTAAATAACATATTTTGTGGGGCTTAGTAGAAAATCCTCTTAGAAATGCCTAGGTTATTTATAACTTACTATACTTGGAAAAAAGATACCCTAGAGAAGTGAAGATTGACTTAAATTTAAAACGCCTTGAAAACCAGACATATTATTGGCTTCTTGAAAAAAAATTTGATTCATAAATACCTTATAAAATATTTTTCAAATTTTTTGTATACAAATTAGAACTATCTTTATAGGATTAAAAAAAAAAGAAAAACAAACATTCCCAATTCTATTTTGCTGAATTTTGATACATAAAGCACTTTAATATTTGTAAATTACATATATTTTATTTTAAACGATTTTATTTATTGTGATAAACGAAAGTAAACAAAAGTTCTTCGAAATTCTAGGTCAACTTTTTAGGCAAGTAAGAAAATAATTGCCATATATAAGCATGTATATGTACTTAAACCTGATGTTCTTTGGCATAGCTGATGTTGTTACATCGTATGGATTTCTATAATATACTTTCCTTGTCTATGTCCTCATATAATAACAAAAAAAAATAATATATATATATATATAAATAGTCATATGACCCATATGGATGCATGTTGATATTCATATTTACACAATGCGACTAATATGGCAAGTTTTGAATAATATTTCGTCACGAAATCCTATCAAGCTAATACATTGTCCTTTTTGTTGTAATTGCTATTGTAATTGTTAGTGCTATTGCAATTCGACCGCCCAATTCGAGAGGTTGTTATAGTGTACGTACCACCAGAAACTGGTACAGCGGTTATCAAACCCAATGTCACAAACATGTTGTAGGTAACAGCAGCGCTGAACTGCATGAGTACGTGGAAAACTGCAATCAAAATTAATTACAACGATAAACAACAATCAAAAAGAAAAAAAAGCAGGCAAGAAAAAAAAAACATTGCACTAAAGAAAAACGAACAAGAAGAACAATTGGAATGTCAGGCATACCCAGGAGCAACACGCTTGCTGCCATCAACATGTTCCATGGTATGGCTTCCGATGTCAGATTCTCGGCACCCGTCAGGTACAGGGCCAAAACGACGGGCCACAGCAGCAGCGCATTGAGCAGGCCCAGAGCGGTGAATGTGAATGCGATTTGGGCCACAGGCGGATCGCCCATCACCTTACGGAACATTACCTGAAAAGGGAGCACCGACGACGACATGAGCACGACATGGTCCCAAGACACGAATGCGCTTGCTGGGCTCTGACAGGCCAGACTGGCGGCTTACCCTAAACACGGCATAACCGGCAGCAGCTAACGTGGCCAAAACAACGCCACCCAATGTGCGACTCTCCGTGATGCCGTCCATATAGGCAAGCAACGCGATGCCAGTGTCGCACAGGATAACGGCCACAATCTAAGAATATTTGTTATTATTTATATGCTATTGAGCGGCTGGGCATAGTTGGGGCTTGTAAACTAGAGATGGGCGTTCATATAATAATTTAATAATTATAAAAATGTATCCACTTAGAAAAAAAGAAACGCATACAAATGAAAATCGTACTAAAAATTTGGTTTTTCTTATTTTTAGAAATTGTCACTACCAAAAATATTTTTTTCTTAAATATTCCTTAAAAATACTTTCTATTATTAAAAAGTATAAGTGCCAACCATTTTTCTTAGAAAATATATTTTCAGAAACTCGACTATCAACTTGTATATTAGAGAAAAACTCGAATCTAAGAAACTCTAATGTAAGAATTCTATGCACACATAGAAAACAAACTCCCTGGAATTCAAACATTTTTCTTTTTAATTTTAGAAAAATTCATTTTGAAATTAAGTAATACAAATCCTGGTTTTCAGACAACCGCAACTTTCAATTTTATAAGTTTATTTTCTGAATAGTAAGGCGAAGAGACCTTGGGGCCAAAAGTATGCCTAATTTTTAAAATTCAAGTCGATTTTGTTTTATGTATGTTTCGTATTCGTGCCACGAGCTATATAAATATATATTAAGACTCGTTACTTACCCTAACGCCAACGAACTGCTCGTGCAATATGACCCAGGAGAGCAAATAGACGCAAGCAACGTTTGTGGCAAACAGAGCCAGTGCATCTGTTGCAAAGAGAACATGCAGCGACAGTGTGTATAGATAGGTGGTCACCAGCCACAGGATGCAAAAGGATAAGCAACGATTTAGGAAACGGCCTGAAAACGGAAATTGCACATTTATCTTAAGCATCGAAAAAAATCAAATGATAGTCTCAAGCACCTATGGTAAAGCCACGTTCACGAAATCCCCGCAGGACATCGGCTAAAATCTCACTGAGCTTGTCGCACTTGCGGGCGGATATGAGACCGAGTATATAGATGGGAAAGAAGAGCAGCGAAAAGTTAGTAAAGAACCATGCCGCAAAGAACGGCGCATTAAAGTAGACGGGCTGTCGCGGTGGTATGTTGAACATCTCGGTGGCGTCCTCGACATGATGCAGCGATGAATCACTGATGGCCAATATATCCTCCAGTTCGGTGCTGAGCTCAGCCCGGCTCGACGACGTATCCAAATAGTCGTCCAGCTCATCTTCATACGGCGCCCGATACAAATACATGTACTTGATGCAGTGCGTCGCACCCACCCAAGAGGCAGTCACCAGAATCGTAACGCATACGCCAAAGTACATCTGGAAACATGATGATCTTGATTCAAATTTTTGAGTGTAGTACAAGACTGGCATAAATATATGCCATCGAAATTAGAAAATCGATTGAAGAAAGATAATTTTGAAAAAAAAATATTGTTCCTTTTCATTTAAAAACTAGGATTAAATTACAAGTTGGAATTTTCTATTATTTCTAAATAAATCAAGAGAGATTAGGCCTACCGAAGAATATATGACTGAATATATGACTGGATTGAAGCTGTTGACAGCTAAATTTTAGTTCGAGTTTCGAAATATTATTTTCATTTTTAAAAAAATTTCTAATGGTTGAATTTGATTTATTATTATTATTATTGATCTCTATATGGGGAATTTGTTTTGATAATTTAAATTCTTGAAATTATTTTTTTGTCGATTCTCTGAATTCAATTCTGAATTTGATTCAAAGCAAGTCACTCACCTTCTTGGCCAGCTCGGAGCAGCAGGACTCCTTGCAGGCTTTGAGTTTGCGGAAACGCACTTCCGCATCCTCGCCAGCCGGAATGCCATTTGGCTGCTGATGATCTATGGCCAGTTGTCCATGTGTTTGTGGATCGTTCGTATCGCCTCCAAAATTATGTTGTGATCCGTGTGGTCCTGTGGGCGTGTCCGCCTGGATGGTAATGACCTCATTGGGATCCTGTTGGCTCGATGATATCGAGTCTTGGTGGGTTATTTGCGGATTACTTGAGGTCAGCACATTACTGAAGCCACAACTCCCGACAGCGCCAACGCTGCTGCTGCTGGCAATGCCACCACCACCAACGCTTCCTACTGTCCCGCTGGTATTGTTGTTATTGAACGGTCCATTCGACGAGGAGTCCCCAGTGACAACAACGGATGGCGCGCGGACGCGTTTTGGATTGAAGATCGCTGGAATTTCTCCGTCACGCGTCATCCTCTCATCATTTCCAAGCGCCGCTCACGTTCATAGTGTCTTTTGTTTTCTATAAGATAAGCGAAGAATTATAATAAATATATAAATATGGTATGCATAATATACATTAAATACTCCCAATTATTTTAAATTCATCTTTTTTAAGTCTTCCCTTAAAATCTTTGAATCTTTTACATTATTATTTTTTTACATTTATTGTACCTAATGAATATGGATAAAGTGTTTATAATAAAGTTGTGCAGAAATATACAACAATAAAGTATATTTATGGTTGATCAGCAACAAAACTCAAGCCGATTTAGACATAACTGTCTGTCCTTCCTCCTTGCTTCGTTTCCCAATGCCGATTCAAATTGATTTTAGTTAGCAATAAAAACTATTATATTGAGCCAGAGTCGTGAGTCTTTAAACTTTAAATGTAATATTAATATATGTAGTAGTATTAATCTGGATGTGATTACAAAACATTATTTGTTGAATATCTGCTCAGATTTGCTAAAGTTATGGCTTAATCTAATATTTATGAGTGTCTTCTATAGAATTTGAATCAAATTTCATAAATTTGAAGTGAGTAGGTATTGCAAATGTATGACTGACTATTTAGTCGTGCAGGCACCGATTTGGGGTGCAGGAACAATCACACGCAAGGCTAGGGGACAAGGTGGTAGGTGGTGGTGGTAGCGTCTCAAGCAACTTGATGGCCATCGTGCAGGCCATAACCATAATTGTAGCAAAGGTTTGAAAACAAGCAAAGGGCAAACCAGCAAAACCAATCACGCAATGCCAAACTCGAGCAATTTGCATACGCGTCTTGTTCAGCTGGCTGCTAAACAAAGTTGGCCAAAAGCTCAAGGCAAGCGACGCGTTTCATTACTAAATGGCCAACTGAGTGAACGCCTGATTCAGCAAGGACAGTACTGATTTTGAGGGCACATTGGTCGCAAACAGTGGTCGTCATTTACTTAGGGACACTCCCAGCTAAATGGTATTTTATATACCAACTAATTAGCCTTGTACTATTCACAAAATCACAATAAGAAGCTTGGTCAACTAATGTATATATAAATATATACCATCTCAAACCATATCAGAGTCATCAGAGAGTATTACATCGGTTTTCAGCTGATATCTACAATATTTGTCTCACTGGTCGTAAGTTGTCCCTAATTGAATGGTCTGCAGTGCATGTATGCGTTGGTGTGGGTGTGTGTGTGTTGGGTGGCTTATAACAATGAGAAATATGAATGCCTCGTTGTGCAGGTCAAGTTGAGCTAAAGTCAACGTCGCCTTTGTGGACAATAAACATCAAGTTGCTGCCACAGACTGAGTGTGGCAATTTGTACAGCTTTTAGTGCTGCATTAAATATGACTCCTCTGCAGCTATAGCCACACATCAACCACCACCAACCACCCATCACCCACAAAGTGAAGGTCGCACACAATGTGTTTGTATCCTTCAGCTGAGTGTCTCCCAGTGGAGCTCATTGTGCCTTGTCTGCGATAATGACATTCTAATTGAAACATTAAATATTCAGACCATCGACCTAGGCAAATACATAAATAACTTAATAGCCGGCCATCGATGGATTAATAGCTTTATAATGATTCGGATTCAACATGCTAATACATATTTATGTATATGTATTTATAATTGGCTGCATTTTTGCCCAGTCTGTAGCTAATGGAAGTCATTTCATATATAGTTTTGTGAAATTAATTTTTTTTTATTGATTTTTGTAACCTTTGCATCGGATATCATATTTATTACATGCAAAATTTGTAATGCAATCAAAATGAAATTTCAAACAATATTATTTAACTCCTTTGGGGCCTGTTAGATTTATAGCCTATAGCTCGTCCATCAACTCTACACATTTTTGCTAAGATGTGCTTTAAGGATACTTTCATCATTATCACAAAATCGGCAGAGTTCTACTAAGGATACGATGACTATAAAAACCTGCCGCCTCCATATTGCACAAATATATAATACCTGAGGGCCCAGAACTCCAAGGCCTGCGCCCCGGTGGGTGAGTGCAAAAGTTAAAACCGGTTAAATTGTGTCGTAGAAGTTTTCCCATATAAATACAAAGCTGATCGTTCACAATACGTCGCTTAGACAGCAAAAAAATAACTTAAGCGGCTTTGTATAATTGAATCTATTAACTGACTTTGTAAACAATTACCAGACGAGGTAGTTGCGATATTTTTCTTAAAGCTATCTTTTAGTTTACTCTGAGCACTGAGTTAGATGTGAATTAAAGGCGGATAAGAAAACGAAACGAGATGAATACTACTGCAAAGCTCGTTGGACTGCTAATAAGCATCATGCTGAGCGGTGAATGTTAATTTTCATTTCATAAATAATAGATATTAAAGAAATACTTGTTTTTCAAATACTTGCAGTGAAGGTAAACGCGGTCACAATAAAATGCGGCAATCTTAATGAGGCTCTGCTGTACAGTAAGGAAACTACAACGAGTCCGAACGAATATCCATGGATGGGTGTACTCCTTGAATCGGAAGATGGTTATCTAAGGAATACACGCTGCAGCGTTATCATCGTAGGCGAGGCACATGTCCTGGCAACCGGCCCTTGTGTGCGGAGAAAACGTCCGGAGTTGCTTACCGTACGGCTGGGTTTGTGGAATAAGACACATGTGCCTGGGGAGAGGATACAATGCAATGAGAAAGGCTTTTGTGTGCCGAGACCCGTGGATCATCGGGTCAAAGGGATCTTAGAGCATTCGCTGGCGGATAAGGAGACGGGAGATTATGATTTGGCTATACTGGAGTTGAAGGAACTCATCAAAATGACTACGTACATTCAGCCGCTGTGCGTGAATCAGCTTCCCGTGCCGGAGTCGCTAATCGGTCGCAATTATCATTATGGTGGATTCGATAACGCTTCCTATTTGAAGGGTAAAGGTCTGGCGATAACCATATCGAGGCAGGTGTGTACAGAGACGGGCAAACTGTCCTCAGCACCCCCGGCAAATCAATTCTGCGCCTATCCGGAGAAACGCACCCGTTTCTATAATGGCGCTGCCCTAATGAGCACCAATGTGAAAGGGGAAGTTCCGCGCAACTTCTACCTGTCCGGTATAATGACGAAACACTTGAATGTTGGTGATACGACGCTACTATTCTTTCACGATATAAAATCCGTGCGTCAATGGATTTTAAATAATACCCGCATAACGGGTAATTAATATATAATGAATATATAATTTTCAATATATAATCAACAATTTTCTACATTGTAATTAAATAAATTATTCTTGGGGCTACCCACAGCTCCGCAAAAAACGAGTTTTACCCGCGTTTTGAATCGTATAAAATGCTAGTGTCAGGCAGCTATGTAGCAAATAATGCTTCTAGCGCAAAAAATTAAATTACCCATTTTAGACTCAAATAAGGATTTATAGTCTCACAATATGAAAGTGATTTTGAAAATGTTGTAAAAAGATTTCAAGCTCCAAGAACTTTTTATAATTTTGTTTTGCTAATTTAATTTATTCTTCTTCTACTTGAATAATTAATTTACCTTATTAAGAAAATATAGTTTATAATTTTTCGGTAAGGTTTATGTCGGTATGCAGTATTGCAAAGTCAAGAATTTTTTAAAAATTTATTTATTTGAAGTTACGTAAAAACATATATTTTCTACTCAAATATAATTATGGTTGTTTTCGAACTCAAAACTGATAGAGAAACCCTCTCTCCAATCTACAATTGTGCAATTCATTAATATCGAAGAATAATTTCCGGTTCAGTTAACTTTCAGTCGTGTATCTAGATGTATTTACTAGTCGGGTTGACTTATGCGCTTTCACAATATTTCCTGTGCAATCGGCGGATTTTTTGAAAACACACAAACGAATATGCGTTATTAACGGAGTACCAGTGCTTGACTCTCACAGTTTTTAGACAATTGTGGGATTCTCACAGCTTTTTACGCCAAATAAAACAGACGACACAAAGCTGCCAACAGTTCGACTGAGTTAATTATTCAGTTAGTCAACACACTCTGCTTCAACCTGGAGTTGAGTTTACTTCGTGCTCATGCAATATGTAATTATTTATATACTAGAAATATTAATAGCTAATGTGAGGAACCTGGAAGTTGCACCTTAAACCTGTTTTACTCACATTTTCTTTAGACAGATTATGATGTTAGATGTTTGCGAACTATTTAAATCCAATCAGAAAAAAGCACATCAAGTAGAATTTATAACCTCTGCCTTTAAAATCAAAGTGTTATTTCCTTATTTTTAAATAAGTTAAAGTCAATCTGCAAAAGAAAATCGACCTTTTACATAAAAAGGAACTATAATTCTTCAATCATATTCAAAATACTTGTTAAAAACACTTTTTCACTTATGACTTTTTACGTAAGCAGCAGGGTTTGGGAATTAGAAAAAGAACTTGAATTATGAATTTGGTTTTTTAACCTTGGCTGCATTTGAGTTTGACACGAAATCCTCTGTATTTTTTCTGAGTGTGTGACTAATATTTAAACTGGGATTAGCATTAGGTGCGTGACGTGGTCAGTTTTACATGTTTGTGACTTAGGATTATATTTTTTGTTATATGCGTGTTGGAACATGACATATATTTTATTTTGCCTTTGGGTCAAAATACAAAAATAAAATACAAATTTAGTAAAGTTTTTTATTCTTATATTCGTACACTTATTAAATAATGTTAATATTACGGATATTAAAATCATTAATTCTATAATAAACGAGTTTCAAAATCTACCTTGCTTTTCATGCTTTTACCTTGCTTTTGAACTTGAATCGAGAAACAATTATAGGAGGAGCTGAATATATTTACTATAGTTCTTGATGCAGCCTGCACCTAGTCACAGTTTCCTCACTTCTCCAGAGACTCTCGATTATTTTCGTGACATTTGGAAACGAGAAGAAGTTCATATATTTTTTCGATGCAGCTAATTTTTAGGTGCAGCAAACAAAAAAAAGTTGTGGTAATTGGGTGGGATAATGAAGCTTACAGTATGCGTGAGTATATATAAAACATGACAGACGTTATCTGAAGATATGCGCAAAATTACTCTATGAAAAGCAAAACAAGTAAGAGTGCTGTAGTCGAGTGAACTTGAATACGATTTACCCTGTTAAATATATTCTAAAACTATTGGCAAATTTCCATATTGTAAGTTTTCCGCACAAATGGGAGCAGGTCTGCTGGTGCACTCACTTCTTATAGCAAGCTCAGGCACTGAAGAGTAAAAAAGCGAACAGCGCATGTTTTTATGCACAAGCCTGAACTGATCCTAGCTGACTGGCAACAAACACGTGCATATACATAAGCACATACATACATATATACGTACACGCAATCGTAATGGCATAATGGGGGTCTGCAAAATACATATCGATTATCATGTCATTTCTTTCTCACACATGCGTTCGCATATTTGAGCAGCTGCTGATACAAATGAGATCAATATGAGAATATATATGTTCGACTATAACTTAGGTGTTTCTTTTCCGATCTTGATGAAATTTGGGCAGTTGATCAATAATATTCATACGCATATTATGAGTTAATTAGAAGGTTCTGCCTTTAACGTTGTAGCATTTATTGATATCATAAATTTAAATGTATCGATAATCGAGAGATGGAGTCAGTTATCTTCAAAATAAAACAAACTTGATCTGCACCAGATATACGAGAACCTTTATTCGAAATTTGAAGTCTCTAGCTCTTACAGTCTCTGAGATCTGCGTGTTCATAGAGACAGATAGACGGGCGGACAGACGGACATGGCTATATCGACTCGGCTGTTAACCCTGATCAAGAATATATCCTTTATGGGGTCGGAGATGCTTCCTTCTGCCTGTTACAAACATTTGCATAGAATCATTATACCCTTTTTAAGTGGTTCAGGGTCTAAAAATGTCGTCACGTTCTCTTTTTAATTTTCTTCGATTTGGATTGTTTGCATTTAAAATCATAATAAAATTTAAATTGCCAAACAACACGATGGATGGACAGGGAGTAAAAGAAACGTGCACAAATGTACGGACGGACTGATGGGAGCTGGGAATAGATAAACAGCAGGAAGGCGGCATTAAAATTTGAGGTCGACACAGAAACAGTGGGTGGGTCCGTATTTTTGGTTGTTCTCGGTTGTTGGTTGTTGGTTGTTTACGGGCCAAAACAAAACAAAAAACCAAAACAGCTGAGAAATAGAGCGCATGCAAGAGGGCGAGAGCGCACAAGAGAGAGAGAGAGAGAGACAGAGAGAGAGAGCGATAGAGAGAGAATATGAGAGAGAGTGCGCTTGCGCTTTGAGTGTAAGGTGCCGAAAAATGTAAGCGAGCTTACAACAACAACAACAACAGCAACAAACAAAAACAACAGCAGAAACATTGAACGAGGACAACACGCGGCGTATACGCAATGTGACAGCTTTAGTGGTTATGGTCAAGCGCAGCGCTTGAGCGAGGGCACAAGCCAAAAGCGAAAGTGACGCCAAAAAGAAATACGTATGTGCTACTCATACACACAGATACACACACACACACCTGTACAACAACTACAACAAGAACAATAATCCAACAATGGGTGGCAAGAGTGGCTTGCCACAAAGCGCGCACTTCAAAATCGTTGCCCGCCAAGATGTTTCAATTTAGGCGTGCAGATAGAACACTTAAAAAAATGTAAGAGCATTTTTCAAAGTTTTAGCAAAGAGAACGAAAATCTTATATCAACAACATTTGTTGTATTTCCAAAATTCCCATGTGTGCGACAGAACTGGATCACGTTATTGTAAATTGAAGTAATCAAGTTCTTGAAATAAATTGAAGCTATTCAATTAGAGATTAGAACGTTTTAATGATTCACAAGAATATACAATAATTTTAGTAGAATTTCAGTTGCACTTTTACAAAGAACACTTTTTTAGAGTGTACTTGCCCGACTGGGTGGATAGCTCAAAGTGCTCCTATAGTTTCCTCCATTTATTAACCTTTTCACTTTGTTTTGGGGGACAGGCAGCTGGACGTCTTATACAAAAAATGTAGCACAGCAGCCGGTAGACGTTGTGGTAGCTACTTACTGTGGTATCTACAAATCTGGTTTTCAAGCCTTTTTAGATTATTCTTAATTATGTTCACAATTCACATTTCCTCGGTTCACTTTTGTTATGGATGTGCATTAATGCGTTAAATGTTTTTATGTAATTTATTAGCTGAGCACTTAATGACATTTGGCGACATTGTCCGCAGACACATACTTTACGCAATTCTTTCGCATTCTCTTGCTCACTCACACGCTCTCTGCGTCTATCTCTCTCTCTCTCTCTCTCTTTCGCTCTTGCTGTCTGTTTTCTTATTAAGGTGCATGCTTTTGCCCTTTCATTTAATTCAATTACATACATAGATTTCTTGATCTATATCATTTTTGGAGCAGCTCAGAAATACTGGACTGAAAGCTGAAAGGATACACAAAACGCACACGCACATAGATACACACTAACACACTTGCACGCGCGCACTTCCACACACAGCTACTCACACGCGAACACACACACACACACACATATAAAGATGTGCGCATTTATGTTAGAGCCCCTTAAAAAGTCGTGGGCTTGTTTCTGCCACTTAAACTTGCCTTTTCACTAGTTTTCCTTTGGCTGTGTGGCAAAAAAACAGTTTTTAGTTTATTTCTTGCTGCTGGCGTTTTTCCAGCTTTTCCTATTCAGCGCGCGCTACTCGACTTTTCAGTGCGTTTCTGGCCAGGAATCTCAACGTCGACTGAAGCCGATTCCTGAGCACGCCTTCAAAAAGCGGCCAAAGCTTGTTTTTCTGTTCTCTCAAAAGCACTCTCTCATCAAGCACTCTCACTCTCCCACACTCTTCCTCTCTCTCTCTCTCTCTATCTCTCACACCCCCTTTTTTATTTGGTTGTTGACACTTGTTAGAGATTTCCTTGCAATTTCTGATTTGTTGTTATTTGTTTTGAGACCCCATTTGTAAGACTGGCTTCCTCGCCGTTGACCATTCGAAGGACTCAATAAATTGTTTGGTAACGACAACTATTTCAGATGGCGACCCGATAAGATATTGCAGTTAGTGTCTTGTTGACAAGAAGGCATTGTGACCAGCCCAACATACATATACGTATATAAAATATTCTGAATGTGCAGTTTTCGAAATAGGTTTTATTACAATCGGAAAACAATTGAACTTCCACGTACGTTCAGATGCTGTGTAATCGGTCGCAATTATCATTATGGTGACTTCGATAACAGTCACTATTTGAAGGGTAAAGGTCTGGCGATGACCTTTGCCCTAATGGGCAACAATATGGAGAAGGATGCGCCTCACAACTTTTACCTGTTGGGTATAATGATGAAAAACTTAAATGTTGGTGATACGACGCTAATATTCTTTAATGATATTAAACCCGTTCGTCAATGGATAATAAATAATACCCGCAAAATAACAATTTTTCACGTTGTAATTGAATAAATTATACTTGGGGACTACCCAGAGTTCCGCATATAAAACGGGTTTCTCTTTTATGCAATATCATTGTAAGTTAGCTGGTGGGTGGTCTTAAAACAAAATCTCTAATTTAAAAAATGTTCATGATAGAATAAAATTTTAATTTATTTACAAATAATATACTCAAATAGTTTTTTGTAGTCTCAAATTATGAAAAATTAAATATATAATTAAGTGTGCAGCATTGCTTTTCAGTAAAGTAGTATATTAGTGTTACATAAGAAGCACATGATTTCTACTCAAATATTATTATTTTTCTAAGTAGAAAGAAAGAATGACGAAAATGTTGCCTTCGAACTCAAAACTTTTGGAGAAACCCTCTCTCCATTCGATTACGATTGTGCAATGCTTTTCTATCGCCAATGTCGTAGAATAATTTCCAGTTTAGTTCAATTTCAGTCGTGCTTCCAGATGCAACCAGAAATCGGTTTGATTTGTGCACTTTTCGCAATATTTGCTGTGCAATCGGCGGATGCAGAATGCAACAAAGTAAACGAGCGGGAGATGTTGAAAAAGGCAGTCGAATATGCCTTACCAACGGAGCATCAGTGGCTGGCGCGAATCACCTATAAGAATGGTAAGTGACTGCTAGCTTGGAGTTGGCACCAATTTTGTATCACAAAAATGGAAGAGATTCAATAGCTTTTGTTATAAAATTTGAGTCTTACCATTTAACTGTAGAATAAATAGAACCAACTTAAAATTATGAACTTAAAAGTTGAATTTAATTGTTTATTTCTTGTTTTACTTTTTGTCCATTTCTTTCTAACTTGATAAATCCAAATGTGGAATTAGTTTCTAGGGTTAGCGAATTTGAATTGCTAGAACAATCGGTCAGTTGAAAATATCAGTATGATTGCTTATAAAACAATGCATTTAAAGAAAGAAAGCAACAATCTTGACTCAAGTTGTGGTTCTTCTGTATGAAACGGATCCAACCTAACCTCCTTTGTTTACTTTTGAAAAATCAAAGCAATAATTAACATTTTCGTTGCCTCAAACAGGTGATGAGTCGAAACTGCCGGATAATAGTTGCCTGGGAGCGCTCGTATCAAAGCTCAGTGTCCTGGCGCCCGCCCACTGTTTCCTCCAATACAGCGACATGGTGGAGGCGTATTCTGTGCAGCTTGGCGTATGGAACAAGAGTTCCAAAGCGGACGATCTGAATTGCGACGATGAAGGGTATTGTGTACTAGCCGCACAGGATATACCGGTGGCGGAGATTGCCATACATCCCGAATACGATCCATTGACGCTGAAGCACAGTCTTGCCGTCCTCACACTGGCACGGAGTGCGGAGCTGACGCCAAATGTGATTCCCATCTGTATGCCGCCGCAGTCGGTGATGAATGAGACGGTGGTTAATGAGATATTTGTGCTGGCGGGTCTGCCCATTAAAGGTGACTTGAAGCACAAGACATTTGTGAATACGATCAGTCGACCCTTCTGCAAGAATGATAAGATTGGCGAATTAGTTACCAGTGGTACCGCCTTTTGCGGCATACAGGATCTAAATAATCGGTACTATTTGGGTGCACCACTGGTCGGGTTACATGTGAAATTTGATGAGCCGCAAAATTACTATTTGGCCGGTCTGCTCCTCGACTCCCGCGAAGCAAAGTCGCCAAAGCGTACTGTGGCCAGTTTTCTGGATATCCGTCCCTATATGAGTTTCATTAACCGCAATGCCAAAGAACTTAGTGTGAACAACTGAAATCGGTGCGGTGAACCGATTTTAAATCCCGAAACAAACATAAATTATCCCGTCCGGAGGCTTTAACACATGCATTTGTAATTGCTTCAAATGTCTTATCAATATTGACAATAAAAGATAAAATATAATTTGCTAATTGTTCTTCATTTAGCTTTATAAGTCAAACAATATCAAAAAATAAATAAGTAAACATTTTGAAGCTCTTGTTTTGTCGACATTATCTAATATATTAAGATCCTATTTAGAAGGTGGCATGTCTAAGATCAATAATTTCCTTTAATAAATCCGGTCATATCTGGTTCAAAACAAGTTGCCTAAAACTGTCGAGCCTTTGCCCTTTATAACAATGTATTTATTTTTAATGGAAAAAATACAGTTTTTTTTTTTTTAATAAATTATGTTCGCCAGTCCTGTGTTCATAGCTGCGTATTATATTAAGGTAAAAGGTGATTTCTCCATACTTTTACCATAAAAAAAAGTTAGAAAGCTATAGTCGAGAAAGCTCGACTAGGAGACTCCCTGATACCTGTTGGCTTCCTGTAAATACGAAAATACGTCTTGGTTAACAGTATCTATGTTTCTTATTCGATCTTATATCTATGGGAAGGCTTTATCTTGAAGATTTGAAAAATTTGTACATTTTAATTTATTTTATAGATGTATGTAAACATAATCAAATTTCATCAAATGAAAACGGGAAAAGAATAATGAAGTATTTTCACTGTGAAGAATTTCTTTTTGACCAACGTCCTATTAAATAATTCTCATAACCTTAAAAACATAATGTTCGGGACCCGGCAGTAATTTTGAGACATGTGTTAAGCCCTTGGGTCTCTGCCATTACCTTCCCAACACATTTGTTTTCTAGGTAACCGCGGGATTCTCCCACCTTTTGACACCGAATAAAACAGGCAACAAACAGCTGCCAACAGGTCGGCCGAGTTAATTATTCAGTTAGTCAACACACTCTGCTTCAACCTGGAGTTGAGTTTACTTCGTGCTCAGGCAATATGCAAATTATTTATACACTAGAACTATTAATAGCTAATGTGCGAAATATGGAGATTGCACCTTAAACCTGTTTTACCCACATTTTCTTTTTAGTAATTTAAAAGGTAAGTTTAACGAAAGACAATATAAATGAGACAGGCGACAGACAACTAGAGGCTTTTTCTTTCTTTTTTGGAACAATGACTTCCGTCCATTGACGGCCTGCCAATGCTGGCCAAATTTGATTGTTTGTTGTTAAGGGTGATAAAGTCGGGCTAAATCAAGCAGAGTGTTTGCGAACTACTTAAAACTAATCAGAAAGAACCACTCTGTTTTAAAATGGAAAGTATAATTTCTGGTAACTTAGTTTTACATGTTTTAAAGTCAATCTGGATCAAAAAACTTGGCTACCTGGATTTTTGACTTTGGATCGATTTGAGTTTCAGCACAAAATCTTCTATAGTTTTTCTGAGTGTATGACTAATGCTTAAACTGGGATTAGCATTGGGTGCGTGACGTGGTTGGCTTTACGTGTTTATGACTTGGGATTGTGTTTTTTGTAATAACCGTGTTGGGACAGGACATAAATACTATTCTAGATTTGGGTCAAAATGAAAATAATCCACGAAATACAAATTTAATAAAGTTTTGCTCCTAAATGCCTGCACAAATTAATTAATACCAATATTATGGATATTGAAAGAGAAAGGTACATTTTTGAAAACAACCAAATAAATGAATGAATTTAATGTAATGTTGAACTATACTCTTTGTCTAAGATTTTGGCCGCTAGTTCTCAAGGCCTCCTTAAAATTTGATTCCTTCAAAATTCCATGAATTTTTCTTGGTCTCAGTTTCCTCACTTCTGCACAGACTCTAGAGAAATGAAAGCTCATGTTTGTTTTTAGATGCAGCTAAATAACGCGTTTGGTAAACATATTAGTTGGTTTAATAAAGCTTCAAAGCACTCAACAACAATAAGAACGACATCAACTGAAAGTATGCGTGAATGCGTACAACACATGACAGTCATTATCCGGAGAGTAAGTCATTTATATATATGCGCAAAATTTCTCTATGAAAAGTAAAACATGTCATCACGTTCTCTTATTTTAGTTTTCTTCGTCTCTGTTTGTTTGTATTTAAAATCATAATAAAATGTAAATTACCAAACAACACGATGGATGGACAGGGAGTAAAAGAAACGTGCACAAATGTACGGACGGACTGATGGGAGCTGGGAATAGATAAACAGCAGGAAGGCGGCATTAAAATTTGAGGTCGACACAGAAACAGTGGGTGGGTCCGTATTTTTGGTTGTTCTCGGTTGTTGGTTGTTGGTTGTTTACGGGCCAAAACAAAACAAAAAACCAAAACAGCTGAGAAATAGAGCGCATGCAAGAGGGCGAGAGCGCACAAGAGAGAGAGAGAGAGAGAGACAGAGAGAGAGAGAGCGATAGAGAGAGAATATGAGAGAGAGTGCGCTTGCGCTTTGAGTGTAAGGTGCCGAAAAATGTAAGCGAGCTTACAACAACAACAACAACAGCAACAAACAAAAACAACAGCAGAAACATTGAACGAGGACAACACGCGGCGTATACGCAATGTGACAGCTTTAGTGGTTATGGTCAAGCGCAGCGCTTGAGCGAGGGCACAAGCCAAAAGCGAAAGTGACGCCAAAAAGAAATACGTATGTGCTACTCATACACACAGATACACACACACACACCTGTACAACAACTACAACAAGAACAATAATCCAACAATGGGTGGCAAGAGTGGCTTGCCACAAAGCGCGCACTTCAAAATCGTTGCCCGCCAAGATGTTTCAATTTAGGCCTGCAGATAGAACACTTAAAAAAATGTAAGAGCATTTTTCAAAGTTTTAGAAAAGAGAACGAAAATCTTATATCAACAACATTTGTTGTATTTCCAAAATTCCTATGTGTGCGACAGAACTGGATCACGTTATTGTAAATTGAAGTAATCAAGTTCTTGAAATAAATTGAAGCTATTCAATTAGGGATTAGAACGTTTTAATGATTAACATCACTATATTCACTTCACAAGAATATACAATAATTTTAGTAGAATTTCAATTGCACTTTTACAAAGAACACTTTTTTAGAGTGTACTTGCCCGACTGGGTGGATAGCTCAAAGTGCTCCTATAGTTTCCTCCATTTATTAACCTTTTCACTTTGTTTTGGGGGCAGGCAGCTGGACGTCTTATACAAAAAATGTAGCACAGCAGCCGGTAGACGTTGTGGTAGCTACTTACTGTGGTATCTACAAATCTGGTTTTCAAGCCTTTTTAGATTATTCTTAATTATGTTCACAATTCACATTTCCTCGGTTCACTTTTGTTATGGATGTGCATTAATGCGTTAAATGTTTTTATGTAATTTATTAGCTGAGCACTTAATGACATTTGGCGACATTGTCCGCAGACACATACTTTACGCAATTCTTTCGCATTCTCTTGCTCACTCACACGCTCTCTGCGTCTATCTCTCTTTCTCTCTCTTTCGCTCTTGCTATCTGTTTTCTTATTAAGGTGCATGCTTTTGCCCTTTCATTTAATTCAATTACATACATAGATTTCTTGATCTATATCATTTTTGGAGCAGCTCAGAAATACTGGACTGAAAGCTGAAAGGATACACAAAACGCACACGCACATAGATACACACTAACACACTTGCACGCGCGCGCCTCCACACACAGCTACTCACACGCGAACACACACACACACACACATATAAAGATGTGCGCATTTATGTTAGAGCCCCTTAAAAAGTCGTGGGCTTGTTTCTGCCACTTAAACTTGCCTTTTCACTAGTTTTCCTTTGGCTGTGTGGCAAAAAGCAGTTTTTAGTTTATTTCTTGCTGCTGGCGTTTTTCCAGCTTTTCCTTTTCAGCGCGCGCTACTCGACTTTTCAGTGCGTTTCTGGCCAGGAATCTCAACGTCGACTGAAGCCGATTCCTGAGCACGCCTTCAAAAAGCGGCCAAAGCTTGTTTTTCTGTTCTCTCAAAAGCACTCTCTCATCAAGCACTCTCACTCTCCCACACTCTTCCTCTCTCTCTCTCTCTCTCTATCTCTCACACCCCCTTTTTTATTTGGTTGTTGACACTTGTTAGAGATTTCCTTGCAATTTCTGATTTGTTGTTATTTGTTTTGAAACCCCATTTGTAAGACTGGCTTCCTCGCCGTTGACAATTCGAAGGACTCAATAAATTGTTTGGTAACGACAACTATTTCAGATGGCGACCCGATAAGATATTGCAGTTAGTGTCTTGTTGACAAGAAGGCATTGCTGGGGCCCAATATTACCAACCAAATAATAATAATAATAATAATAGTTATTTACCTTTTCATTTCTTGTTCTGAACCTTGGAAATTATATTAATTAAGTTCGGAAAAACATTGAAATTGCGTGCATTAAGAATGCCACATTCTTGGAGCTTGTTTTAGAATTTCCCAACATCCCACATATAGTTCATTTAATTTAATACCCTTCCATATATGCAAACTATTACTGTTCGCAGTGTGAAATTTTAAATTAGCGTAAATTCAGTGATTTACGCTAATAGGACACTCCCAGAAAAAATTGGAGCTTAACATACTTAAAAGCACTTATCGACATAAACAAAAATAAATTTGTACATTTATGTGTAAACTGGTTTTGAGAAATGGCAAAAAAAGAGATTCTCATGATCTTTATTTCTTTACGTTAAATAAATAATACAAGCAAATTAACATATGAATGGATGTGTTGATTGTTAGCTGCCAAACTGGCCATTAGATTCCCAGCAGAAGACTTTCAAAACAGTTTTCGGAATTGGGTTAGTTAGTCATCAATAATGTCTATACATATTAAAAACGCTGTCTTCCATTCGATATTGCCATATCGATACTAAAAACTTTCACTGGCCCACCTTCATTCAGCCAAAATACCATTTAAATTGACCCAAGATTTAATCTAAGAATGGTTAGATGGAAATTAGTTCCATTGACAACTTAGGTTCAAACTGAATTAAATATCAGTCACCACTGGACTAGCAACGATAACAGCCGCGAGTTCAGAAACAATCTTTTAAGGTTTCCCATCACTATGCACTGGCAATTGTGTGCAGCAATCCTGCTGCTGTTGGTGTGGCAAGGAGCTCCCAACCAGATCCAAGCAGCTAGGACAACTAACTTCGATATTCTGGAGTATTGGCAACCACATACACTGAAGCAGACGCAGAGAAAATCGAGGTAAGCCCACAAAAGATCACCGAATCGTGCTGATAAATACAGACAAAAAGCATATACTAAATCAATGTCAAAACTCTGAACTCTTTCAGTTTTATAACGATCCTTACATAAATTTAAAAGCTGTATTATGTGCTTATTATTTTATTTATTTTATCTTTCTTTTGTTGCCTTAATAGCAGTCAACAGATTCTGAATCCCGGCTATGAGTTTATTCAGAGCAGAATTCCAAGCGACGGATACAATCGTCGTCGCCAATTGCCCGGACAAGGCAGAGCAAGAGGAACAACCACCACAGAGCGACCCCTTATCCGGGTGTGGAACAGTTTCTTGCGCAGTGTACAACCGAATTTCGGTCTTCACAATTTGACCAATCCACTGGTGAATCTGTTCAGCAATGGCAATGCGAATATCATTGAAACGCTGCCCCTGCGAACAGAGCTGTACAACGATGAACAGGCGACGGCGGAGGAGGAGGAGGAGCAGCAGCAGCAGCCAGAGCAATCAACTGCCAGCAAACGTAAGCGTAGGCGACGTAAACAACAAAAGCGTCGTCCCGTCTTCGAATCAGAGGAGCAAACTGATTATCCATATGATTACTATGGTGACAATACGTTACCCATGCCATCGCTGTACTACTATCATCCGCATGATTACTATGGCTTGCGTCGCCTACAAAATTATCAAGACTACGCGCAGCCGGCCAGTTACTATCATCCGTACTTCGTTGAGCAAAATGCAGTTAACGAGGAGGAGACGGATTCAGAATATACTTCTACAGACAACTTGGGTAAATTGAATACCAAGAAAAAGGTAGCAGTACTGCGACCGCTCAGCTTGGCATTTGCATTGCCAGCAGCTGAACAGAATACGGCCAATAAACACGTAGCCAGCAGTGCAGAAGCCAATGAAAATGAAGATGAAGATGAAGACGACTCTTTTTTGGTTGTCGGCAGCAAACCCGAAGTCAATGTCGGGCGCATAGCTAACGAAGATCGTTCCACCGCAACACTCTCGGAGAGCGCACGTAATGCTTTGGGCACGTACATGCGAGACGATATACAGACTCGCCAGCGTCAGCGTCATTCCGAGCAACAACTGAAGGTGGATGGTGCAAGCGAGAAGGCGAAACCACGTCAACGTCAGCACCAGGAACATTATATACTTACTGCGCGCCTGTTCAACAATCTTTAATCTCTTATAAACATTCGTGTTTAAAATATGAAAATGATTTATGTATTTTACTGATGTTGTGTGTTGTTAGTCTGAGTGTGAAATGAAGTTGAGATCTGTAAGACAAAAAAAGTAGATATTTATATATATATGGTATTTAATATACTTAAATCTGTTTATATTTACACTATTTACACACACAGTGTTGAGGTAGATATTCGCACTTACTCTAAGAAAAATTACTGATAACGTGATTGCCACCATTTGGTAAAATGTATAATTTAGTGAGGGTCATATGAGCTGAGTAAGACGCGACGCGCTGCCGGCATTGGGATCGACAGGTAATGCCACATTATCCACATGTTGCACATTCTGAAAGTAGATATGCTGCAGAGCATCCTTGGCCGATGTCCTCAAATTGGGATCATAGCACAGCATTGACTAAAGTAAGTATTGTCACTAGTTATTTGTATTTGTGAAAGTTCAACTATAGTTGCGAATATTACCATTATGAGGTCATGTGCTTCATGATCGCGTATCGCTGAGGGTACATTGGATGCCTCCCATTTGGGAAACTTGGCCTTAAAGTCCGGCAATTGGGTAACACCCGGCCACTTGGATTCATCGGGTGTGCTCAATGTGCGAAAGATTCGATATAACTGATCAATTTCACTATCGCCCGGAAACAGTGAACGTCTCATGATCTACAAAATGCCCAAAATGAAGGAGAGGAAGTTCGGAAAAAACAAGAGACTCACCATTTCAGCAAATATGCAGCCAAGACTCCAGATGTCCACGCCAGTCGAATAGTACTTGGTGCCGAGCAGGATTTCTGGAGCACGATACCAAAGTGTGACTACCTCGTGTGTATATGCGCGCATTGGCACATTGAATGCACGAGCCAAGCCAAAGTCCGCCAGCTGCAAAATTAGTTATTAGGATGGGATATAATTGAGAGTAATCTCATAGATTATACCTTAATATTTCCCGCCGTATTAACGAGCAGATTCTGAGGCTTCAGATCCCGATGCAGTATGCGACTTGTGTGACAGAAGGCTAAAGCATCAAATATCTGATACATGTAGCTCTGCAAAATGATTGTGCCAACAATTGTAATAAATATGATACAATAATAAAATTCGGACGTTACTTTAATTAGTTGATGCGTAAAGACCTCCTTCTTTTTATCCATTAATTTCTTCAGATCCATATTGAGGAACTCGAATATCATGTACAGATTGTTGCCCGATATGACGACATCGAAAAGCTGGACAACGTTCTTGTGCTTCAGATTTTTCAGTAATGATATTTCTCTAATCGCAGTCGATGGAACGCCTTCGGATTCCCTGCGTAACCCGATAACATGAAATAGAACATTATATGATTTATGTATGTTAGATATCTTGATTGATTTATCTATCTAACTGGCGATGGAGTTGCTAGCACCACGAAGCCGAATCATGTGGTGCTACGTATATTTATGTGTATGGCAAATCAGCAAACGCAGCACACACAGAATCCGGGCTTCACTGTACAGCATTTGACATTCGTCAAGGACATCTGGGATAACGATTGCGGCAGCGGCTGTCAATTGTCAAAGTGTAAAAAATCCACCGAGGATTAAGTTATTTCTTGAGTCGTTTGCTATCTTCCACTTCAGTTGTTGTGGCACAAGTGTTCGGTGACAACTTACCCTTCCAGGCGTATTTTCTTGAGTGCAACATCCTGGCCAGTTCGATTGTGGGACGCCTTGTACACAATACCGTAGGTCCCTTCTCCGATTTTCTCGGCGCGTTGAAAATTTTCCAGTGCTGTTCTCATCGAGTCAAATTCTTAATTAAATTGAATGTCAGTTATAAATTGTTGTTATTGGAATAGAGATCCACTTTTTGCGGGAAAGCATAAAATGGAGGGAAAATTGCTTATAAATTGGTAGCATCAACAGAAAGCAAGCCTGCATTTTCGTTTCATTCATCGCATGTACAATACTATCGATTGTGTTTTGCAATTGCAGTCGATAGATATAATCGAATATACCATAAATAGCCATTGTAAAAGTTGACTAGACTTTCCTATAAACAAAAAAGTTCTTTAAGGGGGGCTATACACACTGGCATCATTGCCGAAAATTTGCCAATAAATGCTTCCGAAAAAATGTAGTTAGCTCACAGAAGCAATGCCGGAGCAAAGTGGCAACGCTCCCGATAAAAACTATTCGCTTGCACCTAATCGGACATGTCTGGCAACAAGCGTCAAGCATCTTTGACAGAGAATTCATATTTCGCAAATTTACAGTTGAAAGTGATAATTGAATATGATCTGTATTAAACGTATTTATTATATACATACAAATATACATAAATTAATTATGTTATATTATTTTCTAATATGTGTGCATATGTTTGTCAGGTCAAAAATAGTATTTTATTATTAGGGTATTTTTTTTTTGTTTTTTTCTTTTTCCTGCTATTAAGTGGAGTTCTTAGATCTAGTCCACGTGACTCATTAAATGTGAATCATTGAGACTGGTTTCTGGATCTGATTAAAATTTTCGTGATTACCCTCTACTATATTTAATAATATCCGTCTATTTCAGTCTGTCTTTCCCAGAAGGCCCATTTGAAGGGTTTGCCTCTTTGCAAGTGGCTCTTTTATAACTGGGTACATTAAATCCAATCGAAAGTCGAACGTTTATCCCAATTTGGCTGTAATATACGGGGATATTAAAATACAGCTTTTCATAATAGAAAATTGTTTATCAAAAAATCGTACACGAACCAATTTCTACAGAAATATGTTTGAAAATACTGAGAAGGGAATTGCAATATAATAAACGACAGTTGTCCAAATATTTTCTTGCCAACAGTCCTCAAAATGTATAAAAATTGCTTTTAAAATTTCAAAATTTATCAAATTGAATGAATCTTGTTAGGAATAACATTTGTCGCTCATTCTCAAAATAAATGGCACAAGATGTTCTATAAAAGAACAAAGGGGAAAACAAATATCCAACAGTTTTCGTCGCGTAATATCAAGTGAGATATGTAGCTAGTGAGTCTTTCTGGTGGTGCCTCTTTTATACCCTGAACCCGCTAGAAATGGGTAAAAAGGGTATAATGGTTTTGTATGTCACAGGCAGAACGAAGCAAGCCTACCCCATTAAGTATACATACATATATTCTTGATAAGGGTCAACAGTCGATTCGATATAGCCACGTCCGTCTCTCCGTCCGACTGTCTGTTATTAATCAACTGCCGACATTTTGTCAAGATCGAAAAAGAAACACCCAAGTTATAGCCGAAAATATATTCTCATATTGATCTCATTTCTATCAGCAGCTGCTCAAATATGCGAACGCATGTGTGAGAAAGAAATGACATGATAATCGAGCTGTGAGCGTCAATATGTCTGTGTGTATGCTGCAGATATTCTCGTGTTTGTCGGCAGAGCGCACTTGCAGACCTGCTCACACATTTTGGTGTAAATCTTTTTAAACGGAAATTTTGCCAATAATAATGGAATAGAAATTGGATTCAGGGTAAATCGTAGTCGAGCTCACTCGACTACAGCACTCTTACTTGTATTTTATTGATTTGCGAACTGTCTTTGCAAAAGAGACAAAGTAAAACAAGTGTTTTTATCTCTTTGCAAATGGTTGATAGACAGATCGGAACGTTAGCTCTTTATTATATTTAATTCTCTTTGATCCGTCAGATTGGCTGTCTGTCTGTCCATCTGTATGAGCGCAACTCTTTCCGGCAGCCCAAACTTGGAACATTCTGCCGTGAGAACGTATAAAAATTTTGGTTCTACGCCCACGAAGGGCCTTGATAATTGCAAATCGATCAAAATTTTCTTATTTCTTCTAATGCTTATGTAATAATTTAGTTAAGAGTTTAGGCTTGTTCGTCTCATCCAACTTATTTATTAACATATGTGGCTGTTGTTAATATGTTATATATGCATTTTTAGAGTGGGGTTTTTTCAAAATCAAACTAATTTTTAATTGCTTCAAAACTTAGAGCTATGATTTATATATGTAACTAATTGTTTAATATGAACATAAGTGGAACAATTACAAATGTTGTAAAATTTGTTAGCTTCTAGAGCCTATTCCCTATAATTTCAATATTTACTCATCCATGCGGATCAGTGGTCGAATAATTGGTTACAAGGCAGATTTAAAATCAGATTTAGTACTTTATATTGACAATTTATGCTAAGCAAAAGTGAGCCTACCAATAATAAAATCAACAGCTATAAGTCGTCCTTACCCTTTCACAATACCACATTAATATATTTAAACCGTAATCGGTTTGAGATCGTAGTTGCAACTATTTTTTTTTTTTTTTTGTCCTACTCTTAAGTCACAACTCAAACCAAACCAGTGGGTAACTGTTGTCAACAGTAATCTTTTAAACTTTACGGCGATCTGATTGTGTAATGGGTTACATTTGGCAAATTTCATTAAAATTAGGGTATGCTGATATGTGAGGTTAAGGTTAAGGTAAATAAGTGAGTAACTGCAATTTAGCAGACAGTAGCAAAAAGCAAAATAAAAGAATTCACGCAAAAGGTTTTGGGCCACCTAATGACCAAAGTTGAAAGCGTAAAATTGGACACAAAATACATTTCCCGCAGTGACGACAATGAGCATTCCTTCCGGTCAACCCCACCACCCCCACAACTACCCTAGCCCGTAACCTATTTCCCGCCGTGAAAGTTGCGTGTGATTTATGCATTTGGGTCCTGGACTTCGTTGCTTAAGTAAACTTGGGGCGTACAATTTATTAACGGTGCACTAGCTAAAGAAATGTAGATAGGGCTACAAAAACAACAACAACAATCCACTTGAGTGAAAACTTTACAATTTTCATTCGTTCGCTTTTGGCATTTTGGGCATTCCATTTTTAATTCATTTTCCTTTTTTACGTTATGCATTAATCTCCTCGCTCCATCATTAAATCCTGAAATTTCAGTTGTTGTCTAATTTGTTCGCAACACATTTTATTGGCAAACAAAAAAAAAAAAAAAAAAAAACATCTGCTGGACAATGTTTTTGTTTTGTTTAGTAATTTAATTGATTTTATTTGGAACCCTTTAAGGAATGTACAATTGATTAAATATTGAATGTGCATTAAGTGAGCTCAGAAATTTATTTGATTCGCCTTTAAAAAGTTTTACCCATCGAAAAGTAGTATGGCTATGAGCAGATGCATCCATTTGTTTTCAACATATTCAATTTTTGTTCATTTGGCGCCTTTTATGTGGCTCTTTTATGCTATTCAGCTGGTTTTTGCTTTTGTGTTGTGGTTTGCCATCGAGCAAAAATCATTTCAGTATTGCGCCACATATTATTTTTATTATTATTCATTTTCATTTATATTTTAAAGTTAGATAGAATGCTTAAACGTGAGTGTGTGTGTGTGTGTGTCTGAGCATTGGGTCCACCTAAATAAAATGCCACCGTTCGATTTACACACGATTGCCCATACACACACACACACACACACACACACACACACACACACACACACACACACACACACACACACAAACACACACAATTGTACGCGAATGATGGAATGGAAGCCGTTGTTGAGCGCAATTCAATTGGAATTAAATTCAAGCGGAAGCAGTTGCTACCAGGTTTCGTTGGGTGCAGTTCTTGTTGTTGCCCCCATTTCTGGCTTAGCTGCTCACACAAGGATCTCTGTATGTGTGTGTGTGTGTGGCTAGGTGTTGTGCAACCAGTTTGCACACTCTAAGAAAAATGCTGCATAATTGCAATTATTTTTCATTTTAAATGTAAAACTTATACATTCAATATCAAGGCGAGAATTAATTGAAAAAAATGTTAATGAAAGTTTTAATTTTAATTTATTCAAGAAAGAAAACTTATATTGAACTTGTACAGAAACTGACTTATTTTTCAAAAGTTCAGAAAAACAAAAAAATATTGCAAAATAATAATTTGGTTCCAACGATTTATTTTGACAATGTTTAATATTAGCACAACATTATTATTACATTCTCTGAGTGTATGTTCATATATATATATATATATATATATATATATCTGTTGCTGTATCTATGTGAACTTTTGTAGCAGTTTTATTTTGTTGTTAGCTTACAAGTTGCATTTTTGCTGGTATTGATGACAATGGTCAGACTTACTCAGCAATGCGGGTTGTTGTTGTCCTCGTGCAGATGTTGTAAGTGTGTATTGTGTGTGTGTCAATATCATGTGGCATTGTTTCATGTAGCACACGCGCCACCGCCTGTTCGTTAGCGGTAATTACCAGCACAAGCTCCTGCCGCATATCCTATTGACCTTGTTTTATTTTGTTGCAAGCTTTGACATTTGCTTAACTTGCTACCTTAAAGTTATTATTTATACCGTCCCTCGATTCACAGCTTTATTTAAAAACAATTATAAATATTTGTGAATCAATGGGAATAAATTAATCCGATTCCTGGTCAATTATGCTATTGGGAGTCCAGGCCTATAAACAACACGTTAATCAAAGTAATAATGAAGCACTTAATTATTTATTGCTATTGTAGAGAGACAATTCAATTCAAATAATTAATTTCCATAACATAAAACATTCAATGGGATATATAATTTATCATATATATTTATTTTTTCAAAACAACCCAGGTGGAAGTTCAATTGAATGAACTTTTTTATTCGACTGTAAAAAAAGTGGTACAATGAAGTGTATCTGACTGGAAAATACTATGCATCTTAGCTTTGTTCTATTTAGTTTCGGAATGAAATACGAAAGTTTAATTTATTATATAAATCTGTTGAAATTAGAAATGTATTAAAAGAGGGTCTTCTAGTTATGTCTCTGATCCCCTAAGATATATACATTCTTGATCAGAATTGTTCGTACATATGCAATCAGGTGGACGTGAGAAAGAGAAAAGTCATTTTCTTTTGCTTGACTA